GGTCCCTTCTGACCCTAGAAACTATGAAACTATGACCTCCCTGGAGTTAGATGAAGGATGAATTTAGCTTTGGGAAGAAAATGACTCCAGAATAAAGAGGATGTTAACAATGGAAGCAAGGATACCACACCAGTTCTAATGCTAGCAAAAGAGTTCTCATTAGTAGAAAAAGAAATGAAATGTCTTTCACTTGTGCCACAAACTCTCTCTCTGAAAATAGATATCAGGCTAGTTGTAACTCTGAAATTACACAAGAGTTCTTGCACTAGCATTTTTGTTTGGGGAGAAGTTGGCTTTCACAGTGTTCAGTGTTCCAGATTACAAACTGGGGCGGTAATGTTGTCGGGACATGCTCTCATTTTATTATTATTTGAATTGTTAAAGTCTCCTTTAAATATTTCAAACCAGTTTAAAGGACTTATATTTTGATGCAAAACAATATAGATCTGAGCCCATATTAAAGAAGCCACTACTGAAAGCTGAGTGGAGTTTTTCAGTTGACTAAACTGACATGCCGCACTGCAGCATTTGGCTTTGGGTAGTTCCCAACAAAGCTAGCGATCCTGGGTCTTCACGTTGTAAAGAGGTTTGCGAACTCTTTTTTTTTAAAGCAGGTTCTTGTCATATATCACTTCTCTCCTTTAGGGGCCAAGGAGTGGGGATGGAGCTTCGATCTGGTTATGTGCATTGGTGCCAGACTCACACGCTGTAGAAAATCGGCTGCTCAAAAATTAAAGCTGAAATAACGATGCACATTAGGAATCAAAGAAATCCCACCCAGCATCTCTTCACCAAAGGTTGCCCAGCATCGCTTGATAAAAAGAACATCTAAATCTCAATGAGTTGTCACTGATGACCAAGTGTGAAACTAGCTCTGAAACATATGGCCAATTAAAATTCTCAGAGTCTGTGTGGAGAAAAGCCAAGTGAGCGTTAGGCAAGCATCATTGTCTTCTAGAAAATAGTGAGGGAATGATTCCAAGTGACTGGGCACTACTGAGGAGACACTTGAAGTATTTAGAAGAGCTATGAAACTATGAAAACTATGATCTAAACATGCCTAGACTGATTCTTCTACTTTGCATTTCTGTCTTCCTTTACATAAAGCATTTGAAACAAATGGCATAGGAAGTCTTTGTAGATGAAAGAAAATAAGCATGTGCTCTCTGGATATTACCAGCTAGAGACAGACAAAACTCCATTTTGCAGTGTTTTGCATTAGTTTAGTGCAGGGGTGGGCAAAATGCAGCCTGCCAGGCCATTCTATCTGGCCCGCAGGGCCCCTTAAATATTTAGAAAATTAATATTTATCTGCCCTTGGCTGCCTGTCACGCGGCCCTTGATGGCTTGCCAAAACTCAGTAAGCGGCTCTCCGCCCAAAATAGTTGCCCACCCCAGGTCTAGCACATAAGATGCAAGTACCCAAAATCTAATACTTGGTGCATTTATTTCACTTTTAATCTCTGAGTATATTTACAAGGATGTCTAACTATTATTAGCTCTGACTTGCAACAGGGTTAATGACACCCTGAGGCTAGATTCTTCTCTCTGAGACAGAAGTGCAAGCAAAGTAAAATAAGAGGTCAGCATAATACCAACGTAACCCAAAGCAAAATCTGAAAGTGAGAGGTGAGAACAAGTGCCACATTGGGTCTGAAGACAGGTTCATCTTGCCCAGTATCTCACAGTGGCAGAGTAGATGCTAAGAAAAAAAGTATTTATGCAAGAATTATCCAGACTGATCTGTGTCCTGCTTTGCCCTCTCTTCTCTTACAACTTCCCACTTGCAGAATCCTGGGAAGGTCCAAGTTGTAGACACTGCAGACATGATTTACCTACGAGTCTATGACAATCAACTCCTGCCTCCGCTTGTGCTCGTCAGCTTCTATAAATTGTGATATAACAGTAGTGTTTGGGGGCAGATTCCATTTTAACCTAATAGGTGCATAAATTCACCTTGGGGCGTGTGAACTAGCTCAAGTCCTTAGACAACTAGTATTGCAAAAGGTCTTCCTCCTGCTTGCTGGTTTCTTGTGACTCAGTCTTAAGGGTAAGATGACTGTGCTTAACAAAAGCAGATGCATTAATGAATATTCGGGGACATGAGCAGAGTGGAATAGAATTACACTCAGGTGCCCAGTAGGTGGATTAGGAGCTGGCCCTTGATGTTCAGTTATTCTGCTAATATGGACATATCCAACATTTTTATCACTTGCCCAGCTGTAATAGAAAACATGAAAGAAAAATGTTTGATCATGCAAAAAACATACTTCTTTCATATCCTTTTGCATGAAAATGTTAATAATTGTGTGCTCAGAATGTAGAATTTATACCATTGTAACATTTACTGGATTTCTATGGCTCCATTGAAAGATACTATCTAGGTGAAATTTTAGGGCATTCTTATGCTTATTTAAAAAAATTCAGGATGCAATTCAAAGCTAAACTGCTCACAGATTGCAACAGTCCTTTGGGGAGACTTGGAACCCACCTTTACCACTCATGCTCTTTTCTAGTAGATTCACTGTCTAGTTTAATAGAAGTGCTTAGCACCTTGCTATCTAGCACAGAAATAAAGATCTTAAGATGAGCACAACTAACTGCCTTGGAGAAAGTTATTGGCACTTGCGATGACACCATATTACAGCCATTGAAGAATTCCATCCTTCAGGCATCAATGAATAAATGTACCACTGAGAATTTATTGGAGTTGTCTCATGCAACCCTCCTCCCCTCCAAATTCTACTGTCCATATAAAACAGGGCCTGTTTGGCCCAGCAGTGTTCACATGGCTGAGAATCAATTTGTACGGTGGCCAGGTTGAATTGCAGTTTAAAGCAGAAGGATCTAATTCTCTCAACTCTTACACCAGTGTAAAAGAGGGAATTCAACTAAACTGAAGTTAAGAATCAGCTATTCAGCTCAGATCCTCAGTTCCTATTTACAATTCCTCTTGCTTATAACCAGGGATCCTGAATTTCTGTTTTAAAAAAAATGCAAATTCTCTGATTAAAAAACCCCAAATCTGCATTTTCCCATGATTAAAATGTAAAGCCACTCCCTCTCTCTCTCTATATATGGGTATCAGTTGAACACAATGTTTTATCAATATATTTACAATTTTAAAGCAATTTGGAAGCCTACCAGTTCCTCAATCCAAAATAAAATACACTGTAAATATCTATAAATTCTGGCTTTTTATTTTGAGTGTATTATGGAAAATCAGAGCTCCCCCTTTGCTCACCAGGACATGGGTCCAGCTGCAGCTGTTCCCCTTCCCGTCCACTGCTTTGTGGTGCTGGGCAGCCCTGATATGCCCGTGCCCTGCCTATGCCATTACCCCTCACTCCCAACCAACAGGTCCCTGGCCAGCCTGGTGGCACCCCTCACATGCTCCTGGCCCTGCCAGTGCCCCTTACTTACCACCCACAGCCCCCTGCCCTCCCCAGCCCTGCCGGAGGGGGCCCTCGGCTGCTAGGGCTACAGGGCCGGGGACTCAGGTCTGCAGCTCCCCACCCCCAGCAACTCTGGAGCCCCAGCTGCTGCTCATGGGAGGTGGTGGCTGCTGCAGCAGGAGTGGTGCCTGGCTCCCCCTCCTGCATGGGCAGCATGGCTGAAGCAGGGCCCATGGGCAGAAGCAGATGCAAGGTATGGCTGCAGGCTTGGGGCTCCCTGCCCTGCTACCCTCCCCCTGGGTCCTCTGTGGGCAGGACCCAGCACAGGAAGGCACAGCACGGTGGTGAGGCTCAGTGCTGCTGCCAGGAGCCCTGCATCACCATGGCAAGGCACCCCCTACCCACCTGGCAGCAGCAGGGGGCACAAATCTGCACTGCCATCCCTGCTTCTGGTGGGTGAGCAGAGGGCACCTCACCATGGTAGTGTGGGGCTCCCAACGGTTACACTGAGCTTCCCCACCCCACTCTGCCCTGCTGTGCTGGGTCCTAACTGCTGGGGGAGGGCAGCAGGATAGGGGGCCTCAAGCCTACAGTGGGCAGTCCACATCTGCCCCAGCCTAAAAATCTGGGGGGCACATGCCCCCCAGGAGTGCACGCAGTACTGGGGAACCACCCCTTCCCATGGCTCTGTCCTGCTCTCCGCCTGGCCCTGTGGCTGCACATTCCCACCCCAACACCAGGCCCCATACATCACCCCGACTAGGCAGTGTCCCCAGCACCAGCCCTGCCCAACTCCCTCCCTCCCTCACTGTGGGGGAATCAATTCCCTGCCCTCCCCCCCGCAACAGACTTACCTGTGGGGAGCTGCTCGCCTGGCTGCCACGTGCACGTGCACACATGCACGTGGCACCCCTGCCTGATCGCCCTTCTCTGGCTTGCCCTTCGCAGGCTGAAATTCTGCCAGCCTGCAGAGGGAAACCCACTGTTTCCTGCGTTTTTCTTCTTTACAAGAGAAAATCCATGCTTCACCACATTTTTCCATGGTGAATGGAAAATCCAGATCCCTGCTTATAATTTGCTAGCATGTCATTCTCTTAAGAACCACGCACTAGTAGGGACTACAGCCCCATAGCCTTTAGACCCTAGGTTGACATGTAGGGCACATCCAGACAAGTGGGAACATGCATTTCCTGGGGGACAAGCAGCAGTGGTACACCTTGTGCTGTTGCTACTTGGCCCCTGGGAATGCCCATGCCATGTGAGCTCTGGCACATGACAGGTTACCCCAGGTGGGGTAGAGGAGGCTGGGGTCCTGAGGGCCTCTGGGAGCTGCAGCTGTGGTGCTCCTGAAGCAGAAAGCCTGGCCACCAGCTGGAGTGCAGCTCTGGCCAGCCAGACGTTGGTTTTGGGCAGCATGTGCTACCGCCACATGTGCCATCCTGCTTTATTTTGATGCACGCTTTTTTTGACCCCAGGTCTCCTGAGGTCAAAAGCGCCCCTGTTGCTGCAACGAAGCATGGAGAATGCCTGCATGTGTAGTGTGTGGAGGTCTGTGGCGTCACATACCGCATATCCACGCTTATCTGGACACATCCGTAATTTTTTCCAAGACACGGCGGTACAAACTGTAGAACAAGATTTTCACAACCCAGCAAGAGAGAAAAAGTAAAAAGTGGTCAACAGTCCTTTGTCCACAACTTTTCTAGAAAACAGAGGCAGATGAAGACAGAGGCTCTGAAATTTGGGCCAGAAAACCTTTGGTTCTGTCCTTTACATATTTGCTTTTTACACTGTAAATGACCATTGCTTTTTCCCAAGGGATTTATGATAAATCTTTTGGCAAACAACACAATGACAATATCCTACAAATGTTACTCCCTTTACATGGTAGAGCTTGGACCATCTTCGAATTGTCTTCATCTTTAATTGAATCCAACCATGTTCTAAACGTTCTAAAGTGCTGTCCTATAACTACTAGCACATTTTTATAACATATTAGGTCCTATCATTTATAAAGGCAAGAGCAAAATATGTTATAAGCATATAAAGACAGTCAGAACATTAGTTAAGCACATCTTCCAAATGAGAAAAATATAGCATAGATAGGGTACAAAGAGATCACAATGGGTTTTTTTAGAGTCTGCCCACATTAATGTTTTTAGAATCAGTTTGTGGCATGCTGATCTGACCCAACTGCAAGACTCAGAGGCCTGGCATTACATTAGTTGTGCTTTGTGTCCTGTCAAAAGCATGACAAAGCCAGCAGCCACACATTCAGACTTTTTGTCAAACAGCAGCTGCTTTGTTGCATGGAGCTTTTGCACAACAAACTTAATGAGTGCAGGGTCCTCCAAACCCCAGTATCCCACAGTGCTCTGCTCTTCCTCTCTTGTGCCTTCCAAGGGGGAGGGACAGGGAGAGCTGTTGGCTCCAATAACCTACCTAGGCAATGAGCTGTCCTAGAGCAATGCAAGGCCTGGTTTATTTGCCACAACGGTGAGGAGGCTGAAGGGGCTGGACAGGCAAGTGGAGACTTCCCAATCCACCCTTGCTGCCAGAGGGGGCTTCTGAGTGATCCTGTAATCCTTGGGGCTACCTATGGGTAGCAGTGGCCAGTTCCAATTGGTTCCTACCATCCCAGGCTTATTCCAGCAGGCAGCTTGCGGGTACAGTAGCAACAGCTGATGGGCAAGCCTGTGAGTGAGCCTGTCCTGCTACCGACAGGCTCCCCTGGAGATGGGGGAGTTAAGAAGCAGCACTTCATTGCCCCCTGGATGGAGAGCCTGCCTTTGTGCTGACTGCCACACTCCAACCAGGGGGCTATAAATTGAAGTCATGCATGTTGTGCTACGTTTCCAAAGGGATATACAATTCCACAATACCTGTAGCAAGTCAAAAATAATGTCTGCTTAAGCCTTCAATTGGGTCCATATAGTAGCTTTTTCCACAATGCAAATATATATACCGTATTTAACTGAATCCAAGATTACTTCAAATTTGAGACAACAGCCCAGTTAGATTCTATATATGGAAAACTATAAATTTGAGTTTTCATCTGCTTCATGCATGAGAGGAAATGGAGCTGGAGCTGCACCTGACTGTAAGGGGGCAGGCAGCTAGTCTGCCTCTGGCTCCAAACTGGACTTGGCACCGGAGTTAGAGATACACCAGCCGCCTGCCACTCCCCCTGTACTCAAATACAAGCGGCTTCCTCCCATGCTAAATGAGGGGGAGAGATCTCATCTTGAATTTGAGTAAATACAGTAATAGGGCAACGTACAGGATCAGAGCCAGGATCTGTGAATCTAAAAGGCATGCATCAATACTGTTCAGGCTGAAGACCCAGCCCCACCAGCACAGAGTGGCAGCTGGACAAACTTCTATTTAAGTTCAGGCCACAATATATTAGGGGGACTACAATATATTAACCCCTCCTTCCTGTCACCAAATTCTGTGCATCCATACTGCAGCCTAACTGTGCTTCTGCCAGTGGTTTCAGGGAACTCTGGACAGATGTCCATAGCACCTCACAAAGGCACAGAAGTCCTGCAGGATGTGCATACAGAGCCTCAGAAAGAGATGAAATAACACTCTGGGAAGTCCTACTGTGCAGAATCCAGGGAGCAAAGAGGTCCAGGTAAACTAGTTACTGTAGAATAATTAAATTCAATTAATACAATAAAACAGGGGTATCAGACTTATCCAGCCCAATGAGCTCCAGCCCTGTATCCTGCCTCCAGGGCATGCCTGGATTGGGTCCCAGGCTCTCTGTGCATGTCAAAGCCAGTGTGCAGGGCTGCTCCAGTGCAGGCACCGCATGTAACATATGCCCCATGCTACGTGCAGACTAAACTCTTGAGTGGGGCTAGTGCATGCTGCAAACAGCGCACAGGCCTAGACTGACTGTGTGTGCTGCACACAATACACAGGGTAGGCCCAGTGCACGCACTGTATGCGCTGCCCACACCAGATCAACCTTGCATGCTGGCTCTGGTGTGGCCCAATCTGGGACTGGCCCCAGAGCCAGTGCCTAGTGCCAGTTAAGTGTAGGTACTGCAAGCAACATGCATCCCAGACCAACCCTGTGCCATATACAGCACCTGCAGTGCTGGATCCAGCCCATGTGCCAAACTGGCTCTGCACACTTTGTGCAAGGTTGGTCCAAAACTATGACGAGCTGGATCAGAGGGTTTCAAGAGCTGGATCCACCCTGCAGGTTGTATGACAACCCTGGGGTAAAACATTGGTGATACAAGCCTGTTAAAGGAAGACAGTCATGTTTTAACCCAGGGTAATGAAAAGGAGAAACACTTAGCTATCAGGGTTAGGAATGAGTATCCACTCTGACACAGGAACCCAAACCTGATAGAGTTAAATGTGGTCAGAGAACCTAAGCAGCATCAGTATGATGTTAAATTATAACTTTACCATCAGTATGAGGATACATTATAACTTTACGGTCTCTCCTTTAGAAGGGGGCAGTGCTTAGCTTTACCCTTTATGTCCCAGGAACATACCAGAGAAGAATCTGAGTCATAATTCCTCCTTGCTATCACTTTGCTCTGAGGATGGAGAAAATTCAGCCCTTGTCACAGAACTGGTTCACCCATGTGTGCTCAAGTAGTGAGTGGAATAGCTCCATATGCCTTCCCCTCTGCAGGTCATATCACACCATAAACTACTGTTCTTCTCAGTCACAACCTGGGAAGATTAAAGCTGAGAGGCTGAATAATGGCTGTGATGGTTTTGGTACACATACTTGCTACTCTAGTTGACATTCACTAAACCAGGCAAAGTATTGTGAATCTTCTTTCTGGAGTTGTTACATCTGAAGATCTGTAGTTCCTCGGTATGCTTTTTTTTCGGTTGTTCCCCCACCAGCAGAAAGCTTAATTAGAACATAGTACAAAATTTACTGCTGTTCAGACCATAGCCAAAAAAAAGAAAAGCATATTTACATGGTGAGAAAGTTCACAAAGGCACAGCTGCCTTTGTTCATAGCATGAGCTGTGCAAAGTCGTTCACTCCCAAAGATCTGACTCTATGTCCATCTTTTTCTTGTGACGAATTTCTGTTCCCCATCCCCCTTTGCTCATTGACCTTGCTATTAGATGGAAAAGCTAGTTGGGCGCAGCTTGAAAAAACAAGTTATACATAATTTTGGTGTAAAAAGCCCTCTCCCTCCACAGCATCCTACCTTGCTCATTCCATTCCCTAAACACCCTGGGTTGCTAGAGATGTGTACACAACATGCTTCCATCTAATGATGTGCCTAGGATGGAGGCAGCCAGTGCTGCTCCCAGCCCCAACCTCTATAAAGCCAGTTTGGAAAAATGCTGTAAGACACTCTATTGACCCCTTAGTCAGCAACCTGCAACACCAGCAACAGTGAAAGCTAAAGGGTGGGTTGAACATTACCCAACAACAAGGTCCTCCTCCTCCCTTCTCCACAGAAAAGGGTTTCTAAGAAACTGTTCCAAGTAGCAACTGTAATTGTTCTGCTGCATGCACATACAAAGGCAGCTTCCATGTGTACAAAATATCCTTGATTTGCCTGTAAAAAAAATTGAGAATTAGGTTCAGCTTTGTACTCCTTGAATAAGCACAAGATTGCCATTTATCAGTCTGCTAATGTTAATTAATTTTGAAGAATAAGCACTTCAAGCCTGTACCATACTGTGCCTGGAATGGCTGTCAGGACTAACATAATGATTTCAACTCTGAAGTAGTTTCTGCATTTTGACTTCTAATCACATACCTTTTAGAACTGCCTTTCTCCAGAGCATATTTTCAGGGCAAGGGAGAAACAAATGGGCTCTTAACACAATAAAGATCCCATCACGCAACTGCTTATTGTATTCCAAGTCAATCCACATTGCTGCCTTTCCCATTTTCACATAGCTAGCTCCAGCTCTCCTCTGTGGTTTGATGGAAAGTCCTCCCGGAGAAATCAGAATGATTTCTCAAGCTGTGCCGAATTAACATGCCAGCACTATGGAAGCTAGATCCCTAGGTGCGGACACAACTCTGCAGGCAGTAGTTTTTTTGTGGCCAAAGCTACATACACTAGTTCCTCAAATGACTTGTTTGCCTGGTTGAAGCTGCTCTTGGCTGCCGGAATTGTTTGCATCCACTCCAGGACTTTAGCTGGCAGAGCTATGTCAGCTGTTGGGTGCAATAGGGATGTATTTTGTAGCCGTGTTGGTCCAAAAGTTTGCAAAGAAAGATCATTTTTCAGTTGGTCTCATAAAAGGTATAGCCTCTGAACCAAGAGTTCTAGTTTTGCATAGCTCTGTTGCAGACTTTTGTAGACAACTAAAGCTGCTGTGGTGAGATGTTCCTGACTACTTTGTCTACACTAGTGTTGCTAGCAGCATGGGCATCCTGCCAGGTAACGTCAAGTGCCTCTATACCCAATGCTCTTCTTCAGTAACACAAGCCTCCCTTCTGCTGGCAGTTACCGGCATACTCCTTCAACAGGGCAGCATAAGATTTCTGCTTTCCAGCAGCTGGCAGGGGTGCATACAAGCACTCCTGTGACTCCAGCTGGCTGCCCTGGCTGTTCAGCAGCTGGTGCCTTCCTAGAGGGCACGTCACACCGCCAGCACAGCTGCTGGGTGGAGCCATTAGAAGCATGTTTCTAAGAACAGAGGCAGGGCAGCGTAAGCAAGGCTTAAAGCCCAGGTCAAAGTCCAGTGAACTCAAAGATGAGTCCCAAAAGGAAACTGCGTCTTTAATAATTGTTGCCCTTTTCCTGTTTTTTTTCCTTTGCAAAAGCAGCAAAATAGTGACTCTTTCGTAAGTAGACACTGCGAAAACAAGCTGCTAGTCACTGTTGCTGAATCTAATCGTTAGTTAGGATAACCACTACATGCTGATCCTTGATATGTCAAAGGTACATGACCATATATGAAAGCTTGATCCACAAGGACTGGAGGGAAGGTATGGGTTAGCTTCTTACAAACTCTGCTCTGGGTGATATCCCAATTACATGGTCTTAAAAAAACCCTGACAAAATGGAGTGAACCAAATCCCCTGGAACCTTCAGCCTGAAAGGGAACCTTGCAGAGAACTGGAAAGACCTTCAGTGCTTCCCAGTTTTCCTGGAACAAATGGGATCTGCAGGGAAAATAACATCCAAGGCTATGTGCAGGCAGGAAATAGGAGCAGGCCTTCACAGAAATGGAGGGGCGGGGGACAGAAGGCAGAATCATGGAAGTTATTGCAGCAGGCTGGAACAAGTGATTTGCACATACAAGTCTCTTCTCTATCACCGTCATCCCCCTGCATTAAACGTAACTACTCCAACTCAAACTGCAATGATTTACTAAGTCTGCCAGAAGGGGCTCTTGCTTGAGTGATGCTCTCAGGGTAGGGCTGTTTCATAAGGATCTTAGCTACAGCCTAGCTCAATTTTTGGTGCTCACTTAAAAAGTCTGCTTGAAAGATAATGGTTAAAAAACAAGTTGCAATGGCATCCAGCTGGTACTCTCCAAGATTCTTCACATTTCATAAAAGTTGTTTTCTTTGAATTAATGTCCTTGAACTATTATATACAAAACAAGTAAGCCAGCAGAACGTGTGGAAAGAAGGGAAAGGATCCAACTACTTCCTTATCACCATACATTTCTTCATCTTTTATCACCAGCCACTTACCACTCTCAATTTATTCTTTCCCCAACAAAAATGTGCTTAATGTTGTAATTAATGTGTGTTTAGCAGTAGTTTGATTTTCAAAGGTACTGGGCTTCTGCAGTTCCCCTAAACATCAGTAGATCTTGAGGGTATTTTGAGTTTTCTAGCTCAAGTCATATATGTATACGTTTCAAAGGATACCCAAAGCTGGTTTCTCAGTGTAGCATGCCGGCAGAATTGAAGTTGCAGCAAAAGGCTGACTGACTTGTTGGACGTGCAATGCTTTGATTACTGTGATAACATTTAAGTACACCTACACTCCATACAAGTTTGCATATCACATAGGAGCCACAATTCCCTTTGTAGAAGTGTGCATGTTGAAACCCATGACTGCTTTTGCAACTGGACACAGCAGCAATGGAAGTCTGCCATCAGTGTAATCCTAGTCACGGAATTGGGGCTTTGCTGTGAGCATACTAGGAAAAATGCATCAACCTGAAAAGGAAATGGAATTTTCTTTTTGCATTCAATTACTGAAACTTTCTTACATGTCTCCCTGCAAACTATCAGAGTTGACTAGCAGTGAAAATTTACCTGACATAAAATGATATATTTTAGGGACCCTAACAGCTCATTTTTGAACTGAGTCACACCTTTCCTTTAATATTACTAAGAGAGCAGAGAATATGGTAACTGAATTTTAATGGCTACTTTGACTTTTCCTTTGAAGTTGTTTGCTTAGTTGTGACACTGTTTTCTGTGTATCATCTTAATAGAACTGGGCAACACTACATGGCTGAAGCAACCCTATTAGTTTGCCTTCATTAGATCACCTAAGCTAAAAAAAGATAACACTAAATCAGCATGACTAGATTTTCAAGGAACATGAAAGCTCTCTAAGTGGGTCAAGTCTTTGGCACACCTTTCTGGTCTAATTTTTTCAATGTGATAGATACACTAGCCATGCTTTCTGAGAGCAAATGTGCTGATGTGCTGTCAGGGCTAATTTCATGGTTGGAAGTTACATTCTACTCACATTAAATCTTCTTAGATTTCTTGTAGGCATCATACCATAATAAACTACCATGTGTGTTTCTCATGGTCTACAGGATAAAGCTGGAATCTCTTCTTTAAGAGCACCAAGGCACAGTTCAAGATCTAAAACAGAGGATCCCAGTTTTATCCCCACTACTGCCACGAAGTTCTATGTAGTGAAGCAAAAAGCAGCAGTTGACACCAAGTTCTGGGATTCCAAAGACTTGCAGTAACCTGCACTCCCTTTCTTGTTATGTAGCTGCTGCTGAATTGCTGCCAGATTTCCAGGAGAGAAACATGTTTATGCTACATGAAGAGAATCCAGAGCTTCAGCACTGAAGGATTCTTGGGCTGAAAAAACAACAGGTTGTTAGTTCAATTCCAGTGCATGCCAGAGCATTTGAAAACAAATTAATGATCTGTTAAAATGCGTTTGAGCCCAAAATGTTTTCACATTTCCAATGCAATTACAAGCCTCAGAAGTCTTTCTGCAGAATGTCTTTTCCTCAAAATGTTAAATTTTGGATACAAATTTTAGGGAATTCCCTTCAACTTAACATGATACCATGTGGAAATCCACCCTCTACCTCCCCCCCGCAATAAAATAAAATAAAATTCTTCCTTTCTTCCTCTCCTCTCCCCCACTGCAAACAAGCTGGGAAAGTAGAAAAATAGGAAGACAGAAGAAAGGGGAAGACAGGCAAAGCAACCTGTTAGAACAGAGAGAACCCTCTTATTTCAGGCACAAGAGGCTGGGAGGAAGTAACAAAATGAGCATTTGTACTCATTTACTTCTGTTCTTCTCCCCTGTAATACTACTAGTTTTTGTTTTTCATATCTGTAAGGAGGATTTGAAAAACGAAAGAATGGAAAACAAGGTTTTGCATTTCCCCAAAATGAGCAACACTGTAATTCAACTCCTTCTTTTGTTATTGAAATTCCTTTCTGCCCCACTCACCAAACTTTTTATAGAGTAAAAATTGTCAAGGGTTTTCATATGTAGAATTGTGAAAGCTTAATTCTTGGTACAGGAGCCTGAAGTATTAGAGACAGGAAGGCACTTTTTGACAATACCAAAACAAACAAATGAACAAACAAAATTCCCTCGCCACTAAACAGTAGTAAATAGAAAATGGTCTATTTTTCTTCTAAGGCTTTAGATTAAAATTAAGCTTTTTATAACATTTTAACCCTGATGTTGTACATGCAAAAAAAAAAAAAAAAAAAAGTTATGGTCATTTGGAAAAATTTTTCCCAAATGCCCAAAATTTTTTTTTTTTTTTATGGTTTTTAATCAAAAATAAATTTTTTTAAAAATTTTACCCCTGTTTTTTTAAATGAAAAAAAAAAAAAAAGTTATGGTCATTTGGAAAAATGTTTGCCATATTTCAGTTAACTTCCATCCTGTCATCAGATCAGGCCCTTCACAAGTTCAGAACACAACTGCATAAATGGCAGTTACAATTCGAGCTCTGAACATTCAGATTTCTGGACATACGACATCTCATCTGTAGACACTAGATATTTCTTATCCCATGTTACAGTAGGTGGGAGTCTGTAAGACTTGCCTGCAAGGCCTGAGTTTGTTGCATCATAACTCTGAGAAAGAAGCTAACAGGAAATGAGGTTTTCATTTTTAGAGTTGCAGTCCTACATTTGAAATATCTTCAGAACCTGGTTAAGCAATTTTCTGCTTACAATTTCATTTTAATCAAACTGAAAAGAAAGCAAATGATTATGTACATCTCAATGACTTGCTTTACTTCCTTTCCATGACTGACGGACGCACGCACTCTCCTCTATTCATACAACATTCTCTCCAGAAACTCATTTTATTCCCTAGAACACTTCTCAGCTACTTATCTCAAACAGCCAGTGCTTTCATTAGACAAAAATAGCAATAGCCTAAAACGTTCTACAGCATATAGAGTTTCTGTAATCTAATGACTTTATAAAGACAAGTGTAGCAAGTCTAGGTTCAGCAGCCATAGGGACAAAAGAATGAATTAACTGAAAAAAAAGTTGGAATACACTCGAACGATTCATCAACTTATCTTGAGAAGTGCCACAAGCTCTATGTTCAATAACCACTTGAAGCATTTTACCATGGTATCTAAAAGCATAGTACATCCACCATTGCTGCATCATCTCCTGTAACATCACAGAAGCTGCTTATGAGTTTGTTGCTTAACTTGGAACTATCACCTCCTGGATCAGGGATAAGACTGAATGGCATTGTTACTTTCACTATGGTAACAGTTCATGGATGTTTAGTGTGAGAGATGTAAATAAAATCTCTGGATACCATCTGGTGTCAGAACTTCTGGTAAATTGTGGTACATCAATAGGAGATATCTGTATGCTGCAGTCCAGCACTAATAAAGTACCAAACCAATTGGTGTAAGAGATGTGTTGCGTAGACTTCCATGCGCTACATAATCTTGCACCACTTAAGCCAACTTGACTTCAAGAACTGCCTTCTCCCTTATTTTTTTAAACTGGACTTCCTTGGAAACTCAAAACAGATTGCACAAGAACAGCAGCCTTCAGGGCAAGAAAACCTGTTTTCTTCAAGGAAAACAAACGCTAAATAGAGTTATTAAGAAGTTAATTGCATATTAAAGGACAAATGCTCTTCCCTCTCTCCCCTATTAGAAATACTGTGAATGTACAAAAACAAAAAAAGCTACTAGCACATCATGGAGTGAACTGTTTCTCAAGTCTGCACACTACTCTGTGTTGATCCAGAAGTCTGTCCTAGATGCACCCCTTTTGACTTATGGTTTGCTACAGTTTTTCATAAGACAATATAGTGAGGAATATAATTTTCATGGAAGGAAAATAATACTTCTTCACAGAAGTACACTGTCACCATACTTACCATATTTATTTAGCAAGATGATGTTTCAACTCCCTGGGGTCTGACAGATTAACTTTTAAAGTCTTAAATAGGTAAGTGCTTTGGGACACACAGAAGTTATCCCAAAATACTGTGCCATCTTTAAAAAGCAAAAGCCCTCATTTCTCATTCTTAGCAGCAGTCAAATTATTCTAGTAGACATCCACCCAGAAGCCAGAGTGTTTTTGGGGAGAGGGAGGGAGGCAAGAACACAGATTTGGTAACACTCCTGCTCTCTGTAACATACCTGTTGCTCTCTGCATGCATCTGAAAAACCTTTAGTGTAACTGCATGTTATTCTCTTCACTAACAAATGTGGTGGCATTTTATTTGACTCCAGCTAAAAAATAAGACTGTAAATGCAACTCTCCCAGACATTTTTATGAATGAATGAGGAAGAGGTGGTTCAGGATTCTGGGCTTGGACATCTTCAACCTTAACAAGAAAAGCAAGAAAGCTGCATTTCATTTCCTCAGCATCAGGAGACCCTGAAAGAGAGTGCAAAGTTTAAGTTAACTGCATTGTATAGCAATGTAACAAAGAATTCAGTGCTTGGTTTGGGCTCCTACCATATCCCACAGCTTAAGTCTTCTTGGTATCAGTCAGTATTTCTAATTTTTACCAGAAGCACCTACACCAACATGGACTGGCCAAAGGTTTCCATTCCTAAAAGAAATCCTTTGGCACCACACCACACAGCTTGTCATGCCATATCAGTATGGATCTCTGAACACAACAGACTTGCAGGGACCTATAAAACTCTCTCTACTTCAAATGCAGTACTTCCTTGCAGCAAGAAAGTGCTTTATTTCACAGGCATCACTTGCAGTCAGGGTGACTTCTCTGGCGATAACAGAAGCAAAAAACCAGGGCAGGATCTCAAACAAGCATCTTTCCTTCTGAGGATGAGACTTGGTTACATGACCCCAGTCTTAGCTGCTGTTGGGGCCTCTCCACGCACTCTTCCTATAGAGCATGAAGAGCTGGGTAGAGGTAACTCCTTTCCACTACAAGCAGTCCTTGGACTTATGACACAATTGGTGCCTGAAAATCACATCTCAAGTCAAAACATTGCAATTCAGAACTGATTTTCCCATAGGAAACAAAGTTATAAATGGGGCATTGGTTTCTGAACCAAGGCCCAATACCCTACTTTTCACCAAAAATAACCCAGAATTCTGTACTCAATCAATTATGAGTAATGCAGCTGCATGAATGTACAGGTGATCCTCGCCATTCACGGGGGATACGTTCTTGTATCCCTGTGAATGGCAAAATCCACGAATAAGGCAGCGTTCATGAATGCCATCTGCATTCATGAACGCAGTGCCCCCCGCAGCTGGGGGTGGGCACAGCTGTTCTGGCGACAGCAGGAGCATGGTGGCAGAAGTGGGAAGCACAGAGCTCCAAAGCAGCTCCTTTAAGTGCATTTACAATGGGTTCTGCATTCAGGAATATTTGAAACCACGAATGCCAAACCTGTGAATAGTGAGGGTTTCCTGTATTTATGTTGTAAACAGCAATCACACTGATTTGGAAGGACTTCTTTGAGGTGACTTTGCTGGACTTTTTGAGGGGTTCTTGGCTGGAGTCTTCTCAGGAGTCCTGGTTGCAGGCTTTTCTGGAGTCTTGTTTGCTTTCTTAAAGAAAGTGTCCAAGGAAGTTTGGACAGATGTTCTCTGGTGAGATGTGCGACACAGCAAACTTGTTTGCTGGCATGGTGTGGGGTCAAGCATTGTAAAGTCGAAACTGACGTCAGAAATTCGAAACAGGGTGTCACTTACCAGGTTTAGAAATGTGGTAAGTGTGAAACACTGTAACTTGAAACGTTGTTAATCGAGGACTACCTGTACTCTGAATATTTCCTTTGCTAACTGGAGACCTCCCCTTCAAAACCTGTAGTTGGTCAAACACTAAGGGTACGTATTCACCAGTGTGGAGGCTGCTCTGATGCACTGGAATTCCAGCGCACTGGAGCAGACTCGATTAACCACAGGTTATTTTTGAGTTTCTTTTCAGTAACAACTGTGGCGGCATTTTATTCGAGTCCAGCTAAAAATAAGATTGTAAGTGCAACTCTCCCAGACATTTTTATGAAGGAATGAGGAAGAAACATGGATTACATAGGATGAATCAAGTCTGCTGGAGTGTGTCAATTGCCGGAGGCTGGGGGGCCATGGGGAGCTCCGGCAGGCATCCATGGCGCTGTCAGCGATGATGGGGGTGGGTGGCGAGCACTGATCAGTGGTCAGTGACCCGGCGGCGACTGTATGCGGGTGCCACCGGCAGTGTTGGTGGCGCCCTTTCCCACAGGGTGCACCGCCATGCTCAGGTGGTGCATGTGCACCTGCATGCACCCCCTCCATGTCACCAATGGCAACTGCTGCGCTCCAGTGGCCTCACGTATCAGCGTCCCCATGCTCAGAAACGACAGCGTGGTGCTTGAACTAAATCCCGTTGAACCAGCTTTAGTTCACGCAGCCCCGCTGTTATTTTTAAGCATGGAGACGCAGGGGCATTTAATCAGAGCGGCTCTAATTAAAGTGCTGCCCTGCTCTCCTCATGGAGCACGTGTCAAAGTGGCCGATGAGGAAAGCCAGTTACTTCCCTACCTCCGTTTCTGAAAGAAAGCTGCAGGATCCGACCCAGCAGTCCTCCTCAACTGTGTGAGACCCCTGGAAAAACACCGGCTCTTGGTTTTTTTTTTTCAGTCAGAAAAAAAACCCAACACAGAGCCATTCTTCAGCTGCAAGAAAACCCCCTCAGCAACGAGTCGGGGTTACTCACCCGGCACGGCGCCTCTGAACCCCTCTCCAGACACTCCAGGGGATGCCACAGCCCCGGTTGAGCATCCCGCCAGCATCACAGCGACTGCCCCAGGGCTTGGGCCACCTGCTCTGCTGCCATCCCCACAAGCCTGGGGGTGCTCCCCTCCCCCACAGTACTGCCCCCCCTTCCCGTCAGCCCTCGCGAGGGGCTCAAGGGCAAAGGGTGACTCGGCCGTGCCCCGTCTCTAACCGAACGTCCTGCGCGGTCTCTTGGCCCCCATCCCCATCCCCATCCCGTCCCCCGACCGTTAGTTACCCCCGCCCGGCCCCGCCACACATTTTAACCCAGCTGCTTCGGCCGCTGCTCCGGGCTAGCAGCGACCCACGCCATCAACATGGCGGCCGACGGCTGCTGTCTTCTACCCCCCCGACTTTCCCCCAGCGCTGGTCTCTGCGCTTGCGCGGCACACAGCCCGTCGGGAACGATAGTCCCGGCTCTGTAGCGCGGCTTGACGAGAGATGGGGAGAGAACTAGCTTTCCCAGAACCCCCCCGCGGCCAGCCAATGGGAGGCCGC